TGGTATTAGTCTTTCTATGACTGAATTATGTCACTAAGCACAATACTCTCTAGCTTCATTCACGTCATTGCAAATGGCAAGATTTCATTCTTATATATTTACCCAAATAATACAAAAATACTAATTCAAAGCGGTACATGCACCCTGATGTTATAGCAGCATTATCAACAATAGCCAAATTATGGAAAGAGCCCAAATGTCCACTGACTAATGAATGGATAAAGAAGATATGGTGTGTATACACACACACACACACACACACACAGGAGCTAGGAGAAATATTACAAAGACATGGGCTATGGAAATTTTAGTTTGGTGTGGAAAACAGATCATTAAAGTATGAAGAAGGTTAAGTACAGTGTAATATGGTGAGAATAGGGAAGAAGCTTCTAAATCAGAGTTTATGGAAGGCTTCAAAAAGTCAGGTAGGAGCTATGATTGTTAAAGCACAGTTTAGGCAAAGGGACTTCAGGTATAAAGGCATGTATAAAAAAATGGTTTTCTGAGATAGCATAAGTTTTTAAGACACCACATGCAATTGTGAATTGTTTGGAACAAAGAATGTATGCAGAAGAGTGTGGAGATGTTAGTAGTAGGAAGGGCCTGAATATAACATTATACCAAAGAGCTTGGATATTATTCTTTAGGACTGTGGGAAATACTGACTTTAAGCAGGGAATCATTAGGATCAGATAGACATATTTCAAAGATTACATAGAGAGCAGAGTGTGATGCTTAAGCTCCAGCGCCCTTTGCTTTTGTGGAAACCTTCTAAAGTCCTGGAATGAACACTAGCAATGAGTTTTGTGGTCAAGTGTTTTCTGTAAAATTTGAAAAAGGAGGATATTTTAACTGCAATGGTCTCTTTCTACTTTAACTTGCTTCTAATGCATTTTCCCTAGGCTGTGGGCATTTTGGAAACCAGCTAATGGGGAAGTTCAGGATTATTTAGTAATATGTGTGTGTGTATGTGTGTGTGTGTATATATATATATGTGTATATATATATATATATATATTTTATTTTTATTTTTTTTTAAGATTTATTTATTTGAGAGAGAGAGAGGGAGACTGACAGCAGGAGTGGGAGGGGCAAAGGGAGAAGGAGAGAGAATCTCAAGCAGACTCCCTGCTGAGCCCGGAGATTGAGGCAGGGCTGGATCCCAGGATCCTGAGATCATGACCTGCATGGAAACCAAGAGTGGAATGCTTAACATACTGCACCACCCAGGCACCCCTAGTAATATATATTAAAGTAGTTTGTAGTCACATCTATGTATAGCTAAGTTATTGCTGCTCATCCTGGTATAGAAATAGCTTCTGGTAATGATTTTACTACCCACACTTCAGTTAAAAGGCAAAGATATAGGGCCAAAGGTCATATTGTGATATGTATATTCATGATTTCGTGTCTGTTTCTTAAAGAAGGACACTAAACCATATAAACTTCAGGACCAGGGTCTTTACCTGGAGCAATACGAGATAAGACTAAATCAGTAAATTACTGTAAAATTCTTTTAGTCTTGTGAGAGATGAAGACCTGAACCAAGGCAGTGATAGTAGAATTAGAGGGCAAAGGTTAAGATGCAAGAAGCATCCAGGGAGTACAATCTAGGGAACTTGGCAATTGTTTTGATTGGGAGGTTGGTTTCACAACAGATCATGGACTTGGATAACTGGAAGGATGGAGGCCCAGTCGTGGACAAAAAACATTAGGGGAACTGCAAGTTTGGGTGGAGGATGAATCGTTTTGGGCTTCTTGCATTTCAGGTGTCAGACAGTAGACAAAAATGCACGTCTACAGCTCAGCTAAGCACCCAGATGTTGGGGGATATAACTTGCTATTATTTTCTTCTCTGGAGGCCAGGGCCCTCGCTTTCCAGTCCTCAGCCCAGGAAACCGCAGGCACTTACACACCCCCAGGGCTTCCCAGTGGCGCCTGCTCACCGGATGTACGGGTGTGTGAGCAGCACTTCCGCCCCCGGAGGCACGCGCTCAGGGGGTCTTCTGCGCAGGCGCCGCGAGGCTCATAGCCCGGCCCAAGCTCTGTGGGCTCGGGGTACCTCGTGAGTGGTGTCGCTTCTGTGTGGTTTTCAGCAGGATACCTTTCTCCACAGAGAGAGCGTTCTCTTCCTACTTCATCCCCCAAACCTCCCCTTACTCCTCCGGAAGTCAGCGGCACCTCCCCGAGGGCTTTGTAGGTCTCCAGGCACCGAGGCAGCGATGCTAATGAAGATGAGTCACCGCCGATTTCCCAGCTGGTAAACTCACGACTCATTACCTTTGGTGGTTTTGCCCAAAGCCCGGAAAAGCTTCGGGAGCTGAGCTTAAGGTCTGCAGTGACTTTGGGTCTTATATACGAACTTAGAATTAAGAGGGAAAAGTCTCAGTGATTAAGATACCTTTTTCTTAAGCTAGGTTCCCCAGGAAAGGGACCAGAGTAATTGCAGCCTCCTGGAATCCCAGAGTGGCTCATGTACCTGAGCAAGCCTGAAGATTTGCACTGTCTTGTGGCTAAACTCTTGCAGTGTAGCAGGATAGTTGAGGGAAACTTGACTTCATTATTACTAACAGATGTGGAACAAATAAAAATGTGTAGTTTTATTAGTTTATTACTTACAAATACATTCTAAATAAGCCATTCACGGCAGAATGGACAGCAGTAGTCCAGTGGGTAATTTTGTGTTATTGAGGATGACTGGTAACTTAGAGTGTGATATGAACCGGTTGTATACCTTGAGCCATTGGTTGAGTTAGAAATCCGCCCACTCTTAAAAAAAAAAAAAAGAAAAGAAAAATCTTAACCATTCCCCTCATCTGCTTGAAGTTTTTTTCCATTGCCCTTTTTACTTCGTAATATATAACAGAATTTACTTTCTTTATAGCCATCATTTATTATTTGTCCCACACCAGAGTTAAGCTCCATGAAGGTAGGAACTTTTTTTTCTGCTTACTGTTGTGTTTCAAAGGCCAAGAACAGTTTTGGCCCAAACTAAGCACTCAGCATACACTTATTGAATGAACGAAAAAAATGAGTATGTTATTTTTCATAGAGCATGAAGTAGAGCTTAGAGACGGTTTGCATGATTGGCATGACCTATGTGGAACATAGTTTTGTTCAAAGCCCTGCTAGTAAAGGCAGTCAAAAAATGAACAAATGCTTATGGAATATCTGATATTCCCCAAATGATAACTTTCCAAATTTCCCAGAATTTACCATCTTTTCTCCATTAAACATTCTGACATTTTTATATTTGGCCTATGCGGTTCACCTCCATTACATCTCTTATAGTGGTATGCTCATACTAGATAATAAATATTTGTTGAAAGAGCAAGGGAGTGAACTGGATTAAGGCATTAGGTACATGGGAATTCATTTATTTATCACATGAACAGACATTTTATAGAATAATGGCCCATAATAGTAGTAGTTTGCAAATTGAGGTCTATTTCTCTGAAGGATTTGTAAGTTTTCTATGTTAATTTTTAGGTTTTCATTTCAGTGGTCCTCTGAAAATTTAACTTACACATGTTCTGGGCTATCTGGATAACCAAATACTAACAGGAGGTTTTGGTGTCTCTGTTTTGTATCTCTTTTGAGCATATTAGCACTACTTAGTGTAGTATTTTGTGGCAGATTAATAAGAAAAAATCAGAGGCATCCTTTAAAAATGTAAAAGACTTACTCACCTTAACTGAAGCCGAAATGACAGTAAGCTATTCTGTCAGAAGATTTCACAATAGTTTAAAAGGAGAAGAGAGAGAAATGAGTCATAGCATGTAGTAAAATAGGCTTGCTAAAGTCTGTACCATATTCCTGTTGTGAGAGGTGATTTAGTTCGGCAAAGCATAATCATTGGTGTTTTTAAATTAATATTTTAAATTTAAATTTTGTTGACTTTATAGTTTTGTTTGCACTTACTTTATAATTTTGTGGGTGTTTTTTGTAGCTACAAGAACTATAATATGAAGAATTTGAACCTAACTTTATATTTGTACATATTTAATAAAACATAATGAAAATAGTTTAAATTAGGAACAGGAGACCTTAAAAATGTGTTTTTACTTTTAGTGGATTTTAATGAGGTGTTTATACTTAAGTTTGTGAAAAATGACATTACAAAGCTTTGAGCTTTAGGGCCCAGGACACAGAATATTTACTTTAATGAAGTACAGGTGTGACAGTTCACTGTAGGAAAAATGTTTCTGCTGCTAGTAGTGCTCATGGTGCTGAAAAATAGAAGAGAGGGATCTTAGGAAAATGTAGGAAGATTAGTTGGAGAAAATGGAGAAATTTGAGATAAAATCGGAGCTTTCTTTGCAGTTTTGCTTTTGGCTCTGAATTTGTGAGTTCTCTTTCTTAGTGATTTTTCTCAAATGGCTAAGTGAAATGCAGTGTTTTTGTTTTTAGATTTAAGAGAAGAAAAATGCTAATCAGCATTTCTGTGGATGGTGCAAATCTCTGGTGTGGAACACTGGGAGACCTAAAGCACTGTTTACAGTCATTGTGATAGAAGATCAGAGGAAAGAGATGCTGTTACCCCCCCCCAACCCCATCCCTGGTCCCACATAGGTAAATTGGAATAGAAAGAAAGGAGATGAGGGCTTTGCTTTGGTTTACTTTAATAGAAGGGGTACTGGGAGCAGGTGTTATTTTAGAGTTGACTTTGCTACCATGTCCAGAGCAATACTATCTTGGAGTTCAGGCAATCCACAAATATTTATTGAGCACCTCTATGTGCCAGGCATTATGTCGGGAGCTGAAGACAGTGAACAATACAGGGCCCATGCCTTTTGGGACTTAGGTAAAACTAATACTTGTTGATTCTGTTGTATCGTGTCCCTATCTTCACTTGGTACACTTTAGTTGAATATGAATGGGCAATGTGAACATTTTTAATGCACTCTTTATGATGATTTATCTGATTTCTGGGACGGAATACAGAATTAGAAATTGTAAAGCCTCAGATTAATTTGTTCTTATCTTTCTCTGTTTTTAAGGGGTGTTATGAAAGTTGACATAAATCTTCAGAAAGTGGACATTGACCAATGTTCAAGTGATGGCTGGTTTTCAGGAACTCACAGATGTCACCTTAACAATTCAGAGGTAAGAACGTGAAGATAAAATCCTCTGAAATCAGAAACTCAGAAATGTATAACTTTAGAATTCTATTATATTTATGTGGGTAAGTGAACAACACACATCTTACTGGGAAAGAAAAGTCTCATATGCAGTTCTGAATGTTGCCAAATGAACTGAAAGAGGGGTAGAAAATTTTGTGCACAATAACTGTTCATTTGGGTACTAAGAGAAAGCTGAAACTAAAAATATGTCTGAGGTTTGGTGTTAGTCAAAGGCTGACCCATTCTTCAAAATGGGCTAGAAATTAAAATAGCCATGACGTGAGAAACCCAGGAGGGGTCAACCAGATTATGCACATTTTTATGCAGTATGATGCTTGTGGAAACACTGATGCTGTACATTCAGACACACTGCCATCTGCTAGAAAAGCGATAAAGTATGGCAGGGAAATTTTGAAAACAAAGAGAAAACTATTCAGGGACCTGGGTAAGAAATATGTATATTTGTGTATGTTTTTCAATTTTCAGTTCCTATCTGTGCTCTATTTCATGGGACTCTTGTTGGTAAAAAACAGGCATAGAGATCATACTTCTGGAAATAAGACTGTTACTTGTCTTTTGTAGTTTCAAAGAGGAAATGTGATGACATCCTGATTTCATTTTCAGTAATCTCTCTCTCAGGTCCCAAAATGCTGTGAAACAACTTTACTATAAAACTCCTGATCTTAATTAAATATTTGGGCTATCCCAACTTTGAGTTCATGAATTTGTGAGGAAAGTCAGCTTAATTTATTTAAAATACAGGGAGATTGCCATAAATGTAGTAATTTAAATCTTCAATTTTAATTTTTGTTCTTGCGAAAGATGGTTTTATACAGTGCATTTTTTTCTATCTGATACAATGCTGTTTATTTTTTATTTATTTTTATTTAATTTAATTTCAGTAGAGTTAATATACAGTGTTATATTAATTTCAGGTGTACAACATAATGATTCAGTACATAGTGCTCCACCACAATATCCTTCAACCTTCCTACCCCCTAAAACCCTTAGAAACCCTCATAATTCCTCACATCCCTCTAAATCCATCATAATCCCTACTATATCTCCGTGACTCCTACTTCCTTAATACCCCCTATACATTCCCACATATCCCCATACCACCTCCCACATTTCTGTACAGCTCCACATAGCCAACCCTCCACACAGCCCTCACTTCCTTCACTCCCCCCACCCCCAAGTGGGGACTCAAATTATGTAAGTGAAATGTTTTGGTCTTGTCAATACATAGAAGTTAAGGTCCTCTTTTTGCTTCCTTTCACTCTTTGTTCTTTTGATTTTGAACTTTTCTGAGTTTCCACTTCCCTTTGGATGATTCTGGCATTTCTAAAGATACGAATTTCAATCACTGATCTAGCGAACATCTTTAGCTTGATTATTATCTCTATGCCAATAGCATATAACCATTTAGGTTTGTCTTTTAGCCAGGGTGGAATCTTTTTCTGCATGGGTGTTGTAGTGTGGATATTGATCTGTATGTGCTCATTTCTGTATAGCCTTGTTTCAGTAATGATCTTGGTGTGGGTTTTTTTTTTTTTTTTTTCCTTATAGCATATCTATTTGACTAGATGGTTATATTGCAAGAATCTCTTTCTCCTTCTGGAAGATTGATTTATTTTCATTGTACCAGGATTATTAATTTTCTGGGTGTTGTGTCTTTTTAAAACTTTCAAATAGACTTAGTTATTTCACGATAAAATATTATCCTCTGTTCTGGTTAAGAAGCATTACATTGAAATATGTAACATTTTGCATTGTATATCTGAGCATTATACTTATTAGATTCCTTTAGGAAAAACTGGGAAAACATATCCTACAAGACTACTGACAGTTCAATAAATCTCATTTGAAAATATTGTTAAAAGAGGCTCAATGATCAATAATAACATCAATAAACAGTGAATGTACAAAATGCATATTTTGATTAGACTCTGGCTCTCTTCACCCCCTTCCCTTCCAATGTGCTAGAATTGGGAGTGGGAGACATTGGTGTTCTGGGTTGGGCCCTGGAGGCCCTTGGTGGGTAGTCTGACTACGGCTGCCTTTGGAGCTCTTCACACTGTTTTGTTGGGCTTCTCTAAGGTCCTGTAGTTGGTGCTGGTCACGCTAGGCATCTGCAACAATTCCATACTTCATCTTCAGTCTAGGGACTGGCAGTGGTCTTTCAGTCCTTCCCTGTACTGATGTGAGTTGGAGATGAAGAACTGGCTTCTCTTGACCTTTGTATTGCTTGGGAAAACAAAGAAAAATCACTTGTTCGGGATATTTTTCATCTGCACTGGCTCTCCTTTGTTCACATATTTTCTGTTATGGACCCCAAGGATCCCTGTGTAAACTGGTTTATTTTGGGAAGTAGTTAACATGATATTTGTAGGGTGTAGGGGCCTATCTTTATGAATATCCATATCATTAGAAACAGAGACACTTACCATGTTTATTGTGGGTTTTATCTTGCCAATGTTTAACATTCTTCTTTTATAAATACTACTGGAGGTCACACATTTTAGTTATATTGAGGCATACTTTTCACTTTTAAAATGTTTCTGGTGTGTTGAATTTTTAGCCTTTAGGGTATCTTAAACCAGAACAGTGAGTCTGATGTTGGAAACAGTTAAGTGGCAATGTGACCAATGACAAAAGCCTCAGGAGCATTTTAGAAAGACATGGAATGGTTTGTGAGGAAAATAATTTCTCAATGAGTTTGGGTCTTTACAGGAGCTAGGAGGCCACTAAGTATTTTTTAAAGGGCCTAGTAAAACAGGATCTGAACCGACATCCTGAACTGGATTGCAGGATTATTCTGGCTGTTTTTGTAAGTGATCCAGATCGTTGCAACAGGGACTTGATCATGTTGTCAGTATTCATTTAAATAATTCCTGGCCTATTTTCATGTCATTGTTTGCGCTGAGTACACAAAATCCTCTCTTACAGAATAGTTTATTAAAAACATTAAAATAAATTGATACTCATTTTGGTTTTAAAGGTTTTCTTTTGCTTTGTTTCCATTATAAGAATTTTTTAAATCACTATTTAAAGTAGGACAGTGGCCTTGAAACTTTTTGATTGTATTCTATTAGTAAGAATGATCTAAGTGTCCACCCATATTATATGTGTATTTTTAATCTAGAAAGTATGAGTTTTTTTATATTTACATATTCTATATATTATAAATTAGAAAACTTAGGTTGAGATAAAGATAAAATAATATATATTTTTAAAGATTTATTTATTTATTTGACAGAGAGAGACACAGTGAGAGAGGGAACACAAGCAGGGGGAGTGGGAGAGGGAGAAGCAGGCTTCCTGCTGAGCAGCGAGCCCGATGTGGGGCTCGATCCCAGGACCCTGGGACCATGACCTGCGCTGAAGGCAGACGCTTAATGATTGAGCCACCCAGGCGTCCCTAAAATAATATTTTAATGTAGATTATATATTATAAATATTATATCTTTAATGAGAACAGTAAATTAACTGATTCACAATTATGCTTCATCATTTTTTGAAATCTTAGTTTAATACTTAGTAATGCAATGATTCAGAGGTCTCTAAGTTCAGTTTATTTTTGTACTTTGTTTTAATGTCTGTCGTGGTTGAAAATATGCCTCACGAGGATATGTCTTTCCAAATTGAAGAAATAATTTGTTGACTGTGTTTGCGAAATAACAGTGCTCATTTTTCAGTTCCATGTACCAGTTTTGCACAGGTTTTCAAAATTCAGTTGGCAGTCTTTCATCTAACCTGATGTCAGTTGGTCCTTACAAACTATTTGAAAAGCTGGGAATTTTAATATTTTAAGGGAATAGGTTAAAAAGTCCCATTCACATTTTTGTGAGGAATATTTTCAAACAGATTAGGAAATTTTATTTCCAACTTTAAACTATACGGTTAATGAGTATTTATAGTTTTTGGCAATGAAAACCACATAACACTGAAAACATTTCCAAATGTGCATTTTCAAAATGCTCACTTCAGAAGGCTTTCTCATGGATTATTAAACTGTCACTTTTACTTTGAAGGAACAGCTTATATGTATTTTTGGAACTACCTGCTGCATAGGCACTACTGACGACCACTTGTCATTGTAGAGCAGGTCAGCAAATTTGGAGCATTTTCTTTCTTTCTTTCTTTTTTTTTTAAGAGTAATGCATAACTAGTCTTTGAGTTTAGAAACAAGTAGTTCCCTTTGAGATAATCAGAAAATCTTTGTGTGGGAAAAGTTTTTCCAGGTCACACACCATCTCATTTTGAAGAACTGTGTATGTTTTACAATTTAAAATAATATACTCTGTAAATCCACTTAGATGGTCAGATGTAAATGGTAATACATTGAAATTTGAAAGTAGAGGAAGGAACCATTAACCACTGTTGATAATGGTGCCTGGGAACTCCTAGCTTTCCTTCAGGATACTTCAAGTGACTTACCAGTGTTGTGGTCATATGACATGTGGACTGAATAAAAGCATGAATGTCTATCCAAGTTTTAAATTAGTAAAGCTTGATTTCCTATTTTTTTTAATAAAAAGTTTAAATATAAATAGAAGTTCTATTTTCTTTTCATATGTCAATTAACCTCTTGTGTCCTCGGCTTTGGAGGATACTTCTTGAGGTTATCAGATTTACTGTTCTGTTTAGAATCACCTGAATGGTTGTGTTGTCAGCTGAGCCAGTAGTTTTATATAGTTCTAAGATAATTTTCTGATATCTCTTTTTTCTACTGTTAGATGGGAATCCACTTGTAACTCTTTACTACTCCATTAAGTCTAAGTTAATTAATCTCTAAAGATATATTTTTAGAAAGTTAAAAATGTAAGAAAAGATGTCATTTAATGTGCAAGAAAAAATTTAATGCAAAAATCTAAGGAAAGCAGAAGGAGTTAATCATTCTCTTTTGGAAGCCATCTTATATACAGAATATAGCTTACTCATTTGGCTGCAATAGGATTTAGAGTACTTTTCCAGAGATCG